TTAAAACACTCCTCTTTGAGCTCTCGGATGTGTGTCCCTGATATCTCTCAGCCTGGAGGCCTGACGTGGGGTTTGTTTGTTTGCTTTGTTTGCGTGTGCCCACGTGAAGTGTTATTGGCCTGTCGTACCGCCCGCTGTAGGTGCTAGGTGAATGCAGAAGGCTGAGGAAGTCGGGAGTTGCTGACTCACCTCCTCGTCACTGTCCCTCGGCGGTTGCTGACCTAGGTTCTCAGACGAAGCTGTAAGGTCTGAAGCGGTCGAGCCCCCATGCTCCGAGCCAAGGCTGGGCTGGGAGACCGGACGCCTGTTCGATGCGGAGGTCAGCAGGCTGTGAAATTTCTCCGAGAGACCGCGGGGCACGGTCGGGACATTGTTGCAGTTCTCGTCAAGCTTCCTGAAGCCGGACCGCCGTCTCCGATCGCGCCCAGAATCCCTCGCCCCCCACCTCCGGGAGCCTTTCGGACTGCGTCGGGGATCCAGCGCCTCCGAGGACCTGCTGGGCTGGAGGCTTCCCGGGGCCTGGGGCTCTGGCTGGAGGCACAGGCAGGCGGGGGCTGGGGAAGGGGCAGGCTTGGCAGCACGGGGCAAGCCTCGAAGCAGGCTCCTCTGAGCCGGGCGCTCTACAGACGATGCCCGGCTCGCCACCCCCTGGCTCTGGCATTCCGAGACTCTCTCGTTCCGCCTGGCACCCATCCCAGAACGGGTACAGCTGGCACTCCTGCTCTTGACCAGGGGAGAGCCCAAACTGTCCCAGCTCTCGATGCTGGCGCTCCGGCCGGCCCAGGTGGTGTGCCGCTGGAGCGAGGCTCTCGGTGCAGGCCGCAAAGCCTTCTCCTGGGATTGTTCTGCGTGTTGAGAAAGCAAGATTATTCAGGGCCCCATTTTAACCAATCGTTCCAACTGGCACAAGAACAGACGTTCTCTGCTGTTGCTGATAGAATTTAAAAACTAGTAGCAGGAGTAGGCCATTTGGCCCCACAACTCTGCTCCACCTTTCAATTTTTGCTGATATTTGTACAGTAATGTGGAGCTTTATCTGCGTACAGTGCTGCATCCTCCCTGGGATCCTCCCTGACTCCAATGAATCCTGAAAGATCACCACCAACACCTTCACAATCTCCTTCAGAACCCTGGGGTTTAATCCATTGGGTCTGGGTGATTTATCCACCTTCAGACCTTTCAGCTTCTCTCAGCACCTTCTCCTTAGTGATGGCTACTATACTCACCTCCTGCCCACCTGACTCTCTCAAAGTTCTGGTTTGCTGCTGGTGTCTTCCACCATGAAGACTGATGCAAAGTACTTGTTCAGCTGCTCTGCCATTTCTTTGCTCCCATTACTACTTCTCCAGCCTCATTTTTCAGTGTCCATTCTTGCCTCCGTTTTACCTTCAGGATAGCGATATAAAAAGCTCCTATAATCTTGTTTTATTTTTCTGGCTTAGCTGCTCCATTGACTTCCCTGCTAGGCTCCCCTTCCAATCAACTCCAGCCAGCTCCTCCCTCATACCTTTGTAGTTCCCTTTACTCAATTATAATACCGTTACATCTGATTCCAGCTTCTCCCTTTCAAACTGCAGAGTGAATTCTATCATGTTATGGTCACTGAACCCTAGAGGTTCCTTCACCTAGAGCCCCCGAATGAAATCTGCCTCATTACACATCACCAAATCCAGAATTGCCTGCTCCCTTGTGGGCTCTACCACAAGCTGCTCCAAAAACAAACTCGTAGACATTCCACAAATTCCATTTCTTGGGATCCACTACCAACCTGCTTTTCCCAGCCCAGCTGCATAGTGAAGACCCCCATGCTTACTGTCACAGTGTCTTTCTTACATGTCTTTTCTATCTCCTGATTTATTTCCTACCCCACATCCTGACTGCTACTATGCAACCTGTTCACAAACTCCCATTAGGGTCTTTTTCCATTTGGGTTCCTCAACTCTACCCACACACATTCACATTTTTCAACCCTATCAGCTCTTGCTATCAATGTAGTTGATTGAGAGAGAAACAGAAAGAGCGAGCAGTGTGCACGTGGGACGGGGGGGTGCATGCGGGAAGGGGAGCTCGAGATAGAAAGGTCAGTGTCGGACCCCAATCCCCCTGGACACAGGGTGCTACTGGACCCACACCCCCCCCCCCCTCCCCCCAGACACAGGGCGCTGTGGGACCCCCTCCCTCTCCCGGGACACAGGGTGCGGTCAGAACCCCCACCCGAGTCACAGAGCGGTGCACTTACCCAGCAGGCTCTGGGGCCCGGCCTGGAGTAGCTGGCGCTCTCTGAGGGGTCGCCGGAACTGAGCAAGCGCCAGGATGACATTTCGAAGTTTGGCCCATCGCAGCCTACCCCCCTGGTTACTGGACGGCCATTTACTCTCCAGGACAGCCTGTGGATACACAGACAGGGAAGGCTGCTTAACTCAGCACAACATTCCCAGTGGGAATCCCGAGATAACCCAGCAGCTGTGGGTATCCCAGCCAGTGGGGAGGGTTTAGTGACCAGCAGTTACTGATATCCAATGACCCTCTCCCTGTGACCTCATTACGGTGCCCAGTCCCTG